TAGGGAAAAGGCCTATTAGAAACTAAAGAGTCTTACTTCAAGTTCCTCAACGAACTCAAAACCCCAAGCAACAAGTCACTCAACCTGTTACTCTTCTCTTCTCTTTCTCTCTTCTCTTCTCCTAGCTTTACTCAAAGCTAAAACAGAAGTTCACTCAAACTTCCCAATACCCGAAAATACAACTCGAAAGAATTAACTCTAGTATAAGAAAATAAGAACACTCTAATTCACTAGTGTGGAATAGGACTCTTAACTCTGTTAAAGAAAGTAAAAGATAAAATCTATTTGAGCAAGCTAGGGTGAGTTTTTCCAACTGAAATAACCGGCTATTTATAGACCTCTTTACCTTAGGAAAAACGCTTTGTGCAGCTTAACCTTAACGTCACTACTCTCTACCCACTAAGCAGATCATGTCCTAAAATTAAGGACATGAAATCCTTAATGCGCAAGACCATGACATGGACTAAGTCATGGAGAGTAGTTCGCAAGTTTTGGAAAAATAAAACTGATTTTATTTTGCAACATATTTTTCGAATAAAAAGAAAATAAAATCTTTTCCATACTTTTCAAAAAGATAAGAATTAAACCAACTGTTTTCCTAAATTTAAGCAACACATAAAACTATCTTTTAGACCAATTCCACACAGCTAATTTAGAGTATGAACTTCATTCTCATACTTACATAAATCCTAAAACATAAATATATTTTTGTCATTATGTTTCTCTAATGAAGTATCTACTCCGACACTTCTGTTCCTTTAAAGGAACTTCTCTTCTCTAGTGAAGCTTCTACTCCAAATCTTATGTTCCTTAAGGGGAACTTCTCTTCTCAAGGCTCCAACTCTGAAGCATCAGTTCGTGTGAGGAAACTCTTCTCTTTTGGATTACTTTGTTTAGTGCTATCTTGTTTCTCATGGAATCTTTGCAAGACAACTCAATTCTCTTAGTCAGGCCGAGTCATCATCAAAATCATAAGATCAACGATATATATATATATATATACATATATATATATGAGAAACTTTGCAAGACAACTCAATTCTCTTAGTCAGGCCGAGTCATCATCAAAATCATAAGATCAACGGCATATATATATATATATATATATATATATATATATATATATATATATATATATATATATATATATATAGATATATATATGGTCGGGATCCGGTGAGAACAACCCTTTATGTGAGAACCACCATCTATGTGAGAACCAATACCAGCCATTAGATTATATGAATTTTAACGACTAAGATTAAAATACAAAGCTGCCATTCTCACGGGTCCTCCTTTCTCTCTCTTCCTCTTCACTCTCACGTTCTCTCTCCTCTCCATTCTCATCTCCTTTCTCTCTCCTCCAATACATTTTCTTCTCACGCATCTCTCCTCTCACCAAACTTTAGCGATTTGAGAATTGGATTTTTCAGCGGATTTAAGGTTCGAATTTCAGCGATTTTAATGTTCGAATTTCAGAGATTTTAGTGTTCGAATTTCAGCGATATTAGGTAATTTCAGCACTACTCTTAGATTATTATTGTTTGATTATTTTTTTGCGTCATTTTACCATTTTTTTTGTGCGATTTATGTGCGGTCTTATTGAATAATTTTGTTGTGATTAATTTAGTTGGTGTGATTATTTTTGTTGTTGATAGTTGAATTGTATGTAAATAATGTATGCTGGAGTACATTTTCTTGATTAGTGAGAGTTTCTTGAATGATTAATCGCACATACTGCTGTTTTTGGATGGATAATGTGGGTATTATTGATTGTTGCCTCTGGAAAGTAATTCTTGATTATTGTATATGTGATTTCATAACATGTTGCTTGTGTTGATCCTTTCAATTGCTAGTTGGTGCATATATTAGTGGAGAATTTCTACAAACGAATGATTCATTCAATTGGTTGACAATATATATATGTTGACAATATCTTCTTTGAGTTGTTAGTTCCATCTTTTGACAAATTATTAAATTTATTTGTAATGTTTGTCTTTATTATATATTTGTGTATGGAGTATTATTTTTGTAAATATTTTCATTTGGTCCATAATATAAATTAAGAACCCCTGTCATGATTCTTTCTCTTCCATCTCCCATTTCGATCATAGTTAAATGTGACACAACTGGAATTTTTGTTGTGGACTGACACTTATAAGTGCACCAAAAACAAGCATTAGTCCTGTTCTGATCCGTGTTTGCTGGGTTGAGGGAGTTTAGTGTGATGTTTGTGATTGAATATTTAGTTTTTGTGTTTATGGCTGTATTATAGCTCGAGCTATGGGGTTGGTTGAAATAGTTTGGTGGTTGGGGTAGGAAAGTAAAGGTGGTTTGTTGGTGTTTTTTGTGCCTGCTACAGTTTCGGATGAAAACATCCTTACAACTAGTTGGATACCCTCTCCCACCACTCGGAAGTAACAACTTAACATGCACTTTTCTTAGAGCTAGACATAAGACATAGCATGTTTCCTACTCTTCGTATGGTATTGGTATATGTTTAGTTCAAGTACAGAGCTTAATTTTCCCTCCAAATGATCGAATGACAACCGTTTTGACATTATATTATTAAGACTGTATAACTTATTGTAGTAATATAGCCATGATGTATTTCATAACTTGGGAAATACGAAGTTAGTGAGTCTAGTAGAATAAGAACTGTTGTCATGACTATTTCAAAGTGCCAAGAAAAATAATCATTGTGGAGCAACCATCATTGTAAGAGTGAGAGCGTAAGATAAATGACAAGGGTAGAAATATATTGAAGATAGAGGTAGATCTGATGTGGTGCTTTATTTGATCTAGTGATAGTGTCCACAGTGAACATAAAGCCCCATCAAGTACCTCTAATAGACCTATAGGTAGTACTGCAATGAAATAGAATAGGATCTTTAGAGTTAGGAAAGCACGCAATTAATTAGGTAAGCAGCGGATGGAAAGTCTACGAGCCACGAGTGACAAATCTTAGCGTTTTTTGCCCTTAGTTCCCACCCCTTTGGCCCTTTCCATTCCCAATCCTCAAATTGCATATATCAGCTAGTGCATGGTACTTTTTACTTTGTTTAGCACAAAGATTGGAGAAAGAATTTCCTAAACATGCTTATTTTCTTGTTGTTGATCTGTGTATGTTCTTCCTGTATAAGTAGAGCACTTTGGAGGTAGCCACTTACAAATGTGAATCTGCCCTAACAGTTTATTGTATATATGATTTCAGAACATGTTACTTGCTAGTTGATCCTTTCAAGTGTTATAATTTGAAGTGCAATCAACTATTGATAATAAGTATTATAATTTCAATTGTCCTATTGCAATCCAGGTCAGTCCGAGAAGAGGTGCTAAAATCAGGATTAACAAAAATGCTTCTGTTGGTAGAATTGTTCATTGTGCTCTCCTCTTTTATGTGCCAGAATAGCAAACTCTATCAGTCTCCAATCAAAAGATTATTATCAGATAATAAGATAAAGAAAGAAAAAAGGAGCAATACTTCCTTTTTCTCATATATTTTCTGTTTGGAGATCGTTATTGTTAGAGGTGGAGCAAACAAATCTTTGCTTATTTATCAGACAAGCAAACAAATCTTTGCTCATTTATCAAATAAGCAACAATTCTTTGTTCATTTTATCAAATTACCAAACAATTCTTTGTTGATTTATCAAATGAGCTGATTAAAAATTTATAACATAGAAAATGATTTAAAACATATGATAAATCTATTAGCTTAAATGGTAGAGCACTATGCAAATGCATAGGGGATGTAGGTTTCAATTCCTACATAGGTTATCTCTATAAACAAATTTAATTAAAAAAAAAAAAATCAAATTCGTAATAAATTATATGAGCAAAAAAATGGTTTGAAATGATTTATAACTATATAAACTTTGTTACAATTAAACTCTCATACAAACTTGTGTCTCCACATTACATAAATGAACATACGTGGGATTCGAACCCACATCTTTTGTGCATTTGCACAATGCTCTACCCTTGAGCTTATAGGCTAACGTATTTTAAACATTCAAACACACTCACAAATGAGCATTAATTTGACAAAATGAGAAAGAATCATTTGCTCATTTGACAAATGAGCATTAGATAGTTTGCTCATTTGACAAAGGAGCATTGAATTTTTTTGCTCATTTGACAAATGAGCAAAAATTAATTGCTCATTTGACAAATGAGCAAAAAATAATTGCTCATTTTGACAAATTATTTGCTCATTTTTGACAAATTAGTAAAGAATAAATATTAATTTTTGACAAAATGAGCCAAAATTATCTGATCATTTAACAAATGAGCATTAAATAGTTTGCTCATTTGATAAATGAGCAAAGAATTGTTTTGCAATTTTATAACCTGTAATTTTTTGTAAATATCAATGAAGAAAGATTAACTTTTAGCAAATGAGCAAATAGTTAGTTGCTCATTTGTCAAATGAGCAAATACTTAGTTGCTAATTTAACAAATTAGCGAAAACTTTGTTGCTCGTCAAATAAGCAAACATTTCTTTAATCATTCATTAAATCAACAAGCATTTCTAAACATTTCTTTGCTCATTTGTGAAATGAGAAAACATTAGTTTGCTCATTTGTCAAATGAGCAAATAATTAGTTACTCATTTGTAAAATAAGCATACATTTCTTTGATCATTTGAGAAATGAGCAATCAATTTTTTGCTCATTTAGCTAATGAGCAAATAGTTAATTGCTCATTTGTAATAGATATATGTCCTTTCCAATAGTAATATATGTAATCTACAGACATCACAAGGAGACAAATTAATGAAGCACATAAGATCAATGAGAAAGTTTATATTTGATAATAGTACAGAAGTCTGGTTTAAGACTCTCAGATCCCGCTTCAGACTATAGCATAACAAAAGGACTCTCCAAAGTCTAAGCCTCACAGGCATATAATAGTACTTCCCAAAATGTGTGTGTGCAAAATCTATATACCTGTATATGAAAAGTACCAAGTGCTAATACTGCTAGATTTGATAATGATTAAATGATAACACATAATCATCAATATATATCATTGCGAAATGAATCAAATGTACAGAATTATATGACTATTGCCTGGAGTATCCAGGGCATTCAGTTATAATGTACTTATCAATTACATCAGGACTCGAGAATATGGGAAACCTAGACATTTCTTTGCAAAACAATCAATCAATAAACATTCAGCTTTTCTACAAGCAAAAATGAGACATTCGATCACGCAGAGATAATCAGATAACTTTTGATACAATCAATTTGATAGATCGGATATATGTAAAATACCGAAACGAGGAACGAATCATGAGAGGCCAAATGGTTATGGCAGAGGCTCAAACCCATTTTCAAAAATGGAACACTGATTAGATATATCATCCACGCTATGCAGCCAAGTAGTGTTCTTCAGATCCTCTTTTAGTAGGATTGTGTCATATCGGGTGCTCTCGTACATGTCTGCTCCAGTCAATCTCCTAAACAACCTGCCATTTTCTTCTTTCTTCCCGTTCTCAAGAAACCCATTAGCATGTGTACCATTCTCTAGAATAGATCCATTACTGCTAAGTGATGGACTTCCATTACTGTTGACAGATGTTGGACTGCCAGACCCATGACCGGTTTGGATTTTGGATGAAGCAGACCAGATGCTTTGAGGGAACAAGGAGGTACTTGGAACTGGGCGCATGCTCCCTGAACCATTTCTAATATCCTGCATAAGCAGTACAAAGCAAAGCAAGGAGTTATTCAAAACCAATTGTACACAGATATTCCATTTCCCGAGTGGGAATTCCAGCTAGTACACAAAGCATGTTAAAGAATGTAAGATAGAAAGCACACATACAAGGGGACTAATTCTTTCCAACAATAAAGATGAAATCAATTGTCATTTGTTGCAGACAGTCCACCATATTAAAGAGAACAAAGTGAGAGCATAATATACGATTGAGACATAAATTCAAGCGAGATATAAACATATCAGAGGTAATATGAAGACTGTAAGGCACAAGTTACTGATTACAAGTACAGAAATTGGTCACACAATGATTAAGCTGGGAGTACAACGTCCTTTTCAGTTTTGAAATAAAAAAAATCAATCCAAGCCATATTTACCAAAACCAGAAAAGATTTCATCAAAACTCAAAAGTGTAAAGGTACCTACCCCGAGGAGCCCCCATTTCTACTATTCTCAAATATTTCCAGATTCTCCAATGCGGCAGCATCTAACACCATATAAGGTTTCTTAAAAACATTACAGTAATCAGATCATGGAAGTGACTCTATATAACACATAATATTCAGCAAAATATCATCGAAAAATCGGTCGCAAACACAAAATTCGGAAAATAAACAAAACTCAAAACAATTGAACACACACAAAGAATGTATTGAAATGTCATCCAATTGGAACAATCAAAACCGTAATTCAGCAGGAAAAAGTATACAAATGACAAAAAAAATTAAGCCGAAAAAACATACAAAATATTGAAAAAAAAGAGCAAAATTGAACAACATTATGAAAAAAATTTCGAATAATAGAGGAATTAATTGATTAAATTGCAAAACTTACAACTATTTGATGATGAATAATTGAATATCGCCGATTTGATCTTCATCTAAGTGAAGCCCCTGAGTCGAAATTTCAGAGAGAGAATGTGAGGGATTTGAACAATAAAAGAAATTTGAACTATGTGATACAGATCGAAATCTTTTTCTTCTATCGTTTCCTTGTCCAAACAACATTTTAACCTTTTAAAGTAACGCAAGCCAAAATTTCCTAAAAGTACCACATCAAGATTTATTCTAATGCTGCAAAAGAAGAAGAAACAAACCTCATCCAAAAACACCGAATTCTCATCTGCGAAATCTCATCGTTCTCGTACATCAAATCTATGACATCGCAACAAACCTCGATGCTCACCATCTCACCAAATATAACAACATCATTTACTTTATATTTTATCTTATTCATTTTACAGGCATAATAATGTATACTTTTAATTCAAACTTATTTACTTTAATAGTAATGTCATTTACTTTATAGTAATAATAATTTACTTTTGAGAAATTAAAAAATCTTACACAAGAGATGCAAGAATTTTGTAGAAAGGCCTATCCCTGTCATCATACTCCTTGTTATCCAAGTATTGAATGGTCTCTTTCAACAAGTTAACCACTACCAAACTGTAGTGGTTACTCAGACAGATTGAAACAGAAATCTGTCATTAAAATTACACTTATTAGTCTACAAATTCAAAATCATAATGCCCTACAATGTAGTTTAATTTACATGAATAATAAAACATACCAACTGAGCTGTCATAATTAAGATTTCTTAACTCTTTTAATCAAAGAATCTATATGCTTTACTATTAACAGCATAGCCAATGAATACACATTCATAAGCTCTACTAGCTAACTTAACTCTTTTAGGATCAGGAATCGTAACAAACAACCTAACATTTCTTATTTCAGAACTTGGGGTTGTCTGGCATATGTTAGGATTCCTGATCCTAAAAGAGTTAAGTTAGCTAGTAGAGCTTATGAATGTGTATTCATTGGCTATGCTGTTAATAGTAAAGCATATAGATTCTTTGATTTAAGTGCACGAGTAATTATTGAATCTAATGATGTTGATTTTTATGAGGACAGGTTTCCTTTTAAATCTAGAAATAGTGGGGGCTCGTCCTCCTCTATTATTCCTAAAGACAGGTCTAACTCACAAGACTTGGATGCTGAACCCGAACTAAGAAAGAGCAAGCGGGCTAGAGTAGCTAAAGACTTCGGCCCAGACTTTGTAGTTCTGAATGTAGAGGAGGATCCTTCTACCCTCCAAGAAGCTCTAACCTCAGTGGATGCAGATTTATGGCAAGAAGCCGTGAACGACGAAATGGACTCACTTGAGTCTAACCGAACTTGGCATCTAACTGAGTTGCCACCAGGCTGCAAGTCAATTGGTTGCAAATGGGTCCTAAAAAGAAAGCTGAAAGTTGATGGGACCATTGATAAGTTCAAAGCCCGTTTGGTAGCTAAAGGCTACAGACAAAGGGAGAATGTTGATTTCTTTGATACCTATTCACCTGTAACTAGAGTAACATCTATTAGAGTATTAATATCTCTTGCTTCTGTTTTTAATCTTGTAGTACATCAAATGGATGTGAAGACAGCATTCTTGAACGGTGAATTGGAAGAAGAAATCTACATGGATCAACCGGAAGGATTCATTGTTCAAGGAAAAGAGCATCTGGTATGTAAGCTAGATAAATCTCTTTATGGTCTCAAACAAGCACCTAAACAATGGCATGAAAAATTTGATAACTTAGTCATCTCACATGGTTTTAAGATAAATGGTAGTGACAAATGCATATATGTAAAATTTGAGAAGGACATATGCACTATAATTTGTCTATATGTGGATGACTTGTTAATTTTTGGCTCGAACATTCATGCTGTGAATGATGTAAAGCTATTGTTGAATGCTGAGTTTGATATGAAAGACCTAGGAGAGGCTAATGTAATCCTTGGAATTAAGATTACTAGGACAGAAAATGGAGTTTCTTTGGATCAATCTCATTACATTGAGAAGATCCTAAAGAAATATAGTTACTTTGACTGTAAACCTGCTAGTACACCTTATGATCCCAGTGTTAAATTATTTAAGAACACTGGTGATGCCGTAAGGCAATCTGATTATGCGAGCATCATTGGCAGCCTTCGGTATGCCACTGATTGTACTAGACCCGACATTGCCTATGTCGTGGGATTGTTAGGCAGGTTTACTAGTTGTCCTGGTAATGAGCATTGGCATGCTATTGAAAGGGTCATGAGATACCTTAAGAGGACCATGAACCTAGGGTTGCATTATGAAAGGTTTCCAGCTGTACTAGAAGGCTATAGTGATGCTGACTGGAACACCTTATCAGATGACTCTAAGGCTACTAGTGGATATATTTTTTCTATAGCCGGTGGAGCTGTATCTTGGAAGTCTAAGAAACAGACTATTTTGGCTCAGTCCACCATGGAGTCAGAAATGATAGCACTAGCTACGGCTAGTGAAGAAGCAGGTTGGTTAAGAGGCCTGCTAGGTGAAATTCCCCTATGGGAAAAACCATTACCGGCTGTCTTGATCCATTGCGATAGTACCGCGGCTATTGCAAAAGTTCAGAACCGTTATTACAACGGTAAGAGACGACAAATACGTCGTAAGCACAGCACTGTGAGAGAATATCTCTCTATCGGAGCTGTTAGAGTGGATCACGTACGCACTGAGAATAACTTGGCTGATCCTTTGACGAAAGGATTAGCTAGGGAGAAAGTCCATTTTTCCTCTAAGAAAATGGGACTATTGCCATTGAAATGAACCACACATAATGGTAACCCAACCTATGAACTGGAGATCCCAAGAAATAGGTTCAAAGGGTAATAACAAGTTATGGTGTGTTATGAGTTGAATATGTTCAAAAGACATAATTTCCTGAAGCGATCAAGGATGAGTTAATAGGAACTCTTAATGAAATCTATACTCCAATTTGGAGTGGAGTACCAAGCTACAGGAGTACTCTTGATAGATTCACCTATGTGAATGTGGAAGTTAGGCCGCTTCCTATGAAATGTGTGGCAGCATTTCTAGAGCATTCACTACACTGGGATAGACGTGCATGGCCGAAATAGCACGGGTCTAGAACAACACCAAGAGTAGGTTGTGTGTGGTACGTTGTCAGAGATAGGGTTCAAAACTTCGAGTCACCCTTGTTGAATCTGAATCGTACTCACTACGTCGAAGTTCAAGTTGAAAAACACTTCTGTTTATGCGCAACCTATATATGTATGGATTCTGCTCGAAAATGTTTTCAAAAAATTCAAGTGGGGGATTGTTGGAACAACAAGTGTGTAGTGTGTGAATTTTGTGAAAAAACTCAAAGTCCCACATTGGTGGGAAATGAGAGTTTTACTCTCTTTATAATATAGAGAGTGGGCTAAAGGGGTGTGGCCCTTGGGCTACCCACATTTTGTGGAGAGGGAGGACCTATATGGTAAACCATCTATCACACACACGCGCGCCGAACCGAACCGAGCCGAGCCGGGCCGGGCCGGGTTGGGTTGGGTCGGGTCGGGTTTATTAAATAAACTTATTTTTTGGACAAGGCTAATTGCGTGATTAGTTCCTTGATTTTTGCTAAACGTTTTTGACTGATTACATTTGACCGTTTTTCAAAACTGATTAATGGAGCGTTAATCATGCAAACGTTTTCACTGATTTTTTGCTAAACGTTTTGCCACGCATTAATCTTATGTAACCGTTTTGAACGTTCAACTTATGACCGTTTTAATTGCGTGATTAGTGCCTAATTAAACAGCAGCAGTTACGTTGCAATTTTTTCTATAAAAGGCGTGTTGATTTCCTGTTTTTGAGACACAACAACATACAGAAAGCAATCTTCTTCTCCTCTCTATTTTTCCTCACAAAAACAAAAACCCTCGAGCAGTTTCTTTTCTTTTTTGGTGTTTAGTTGCCCGGTGGTTTTGTGCAGTTCCACCGGTATAATTACAATAGAGGAAGGCTGTTTTATCCTGGGGAACATCCGGTTGTTGTACGAGCTGCTTGCACGAATTAAAGGGCAGTACCGTGAATGTTCTAAAGAGAGCGACATAGTCCGCGACTCAGTCTATTTCCCGGTAACTTTGTTCTGTTTTTATTGTTTACAGCTGTTCGGTTTATAACAATTTTGATGAACAATTTCAGATTGCTGTTATAATTGACAAGTTGCCTCCTTCTTGGAAAGATTTCAAAAACAGTCTCAGGCACAAGACTAAGGAATTTTCCTTAGAGAGTTTGATTACTCGGCTCCGTATAGAGGAAGAATCCAGAAAACAGGACCAGAAAGAAGAAGTCTTACAGCTCTCTGCAAACAACGCTCCTAAGCGTTCTGCTGCAGTTCTCAAGCCCGCTGGTAAGAACTTCAAGCCTCAGAACCGGAAGAATAACTTCAACAAAAATAAACAGAATGTTCAAAAGAACGATGGAAAACAACAAATTCAACCCCCTAAGAATGGTACTGGTCAATTCCTATGTTATAGGTGTGGAAAACCAGGCCATATGGCACGAAAGTGCAGGAACATGCCTAACCCTGTACCACAGGCTAGCATGATAGAAGAGCCACTTGTGGCTATGATTACTGAGATCAACCTTATTGGTGGATCAGAAGGGTGGTGGGTAGACCCTGGCGCTACACGCCATGTCTGCTATGATCGTCGGATGTTTAAAACTTATTCTGAAAACACCGATGATAAGAAAGTGCTGTTGGGTGATTCCCATTCCACTAATGTTGCTGGTATTGGTAATGTTGAGTTGAAGTTTACTTCTGGCAGGACTCTCATTCTGAAGGATGTACTGCACACTCCGGAAATGAGAAAGAACTTAGTTTCTGGTTTTCTTCTTAATAAGGCTGGTTTTACACAAACCATAGGTTCCGATTTATTTACTTTAACTAAGAATGGAATGTTTGTAGGGAAAGGTTATGCTACTGATGGCATGTTTAAACTGAATGTTGAGATTAATAAAATTTCTGATTCTGCTTATATGTTGTCTTCTTCTGTTAATATTTGGCATGCTAGACTCTGTCATGTGAACAAAAGACTCATAAAAAATATGAGCAATTTAGGCCTTATCCCTAATGTTTCCCTCAATGACTTTGATAAATGTGATTTTTGTAGTCAGGCTAAGATTACAAAAACACCTCATAAGTCTGTTGTTAGAAACTCAGAACCGTTAGATTTAATTCATTCTGATATTTGTGAATATAATGGAACGCTGACCAGAAATGGACAACGATATTTCATCACCTTTATTGATGATTGTTCTGATTATACTCGTGTTTATTTGATGAAAAATAAGAGTGATGCTTTTGATATGTTTAAGTTGTTTGTGACAGAGTTTGAGAATCAGTTCAACAAGCAAATAAAAA